TTCGGCCATATATTTCAGCGTTTCGAAATGATGTTCTGGTAGTATCTGTATCATACGTTTTATACGTAACATTCGTTTTTCAGGATTCTCAATTCTATTGGCAGCTATGAAGGCATCATAACACTCTACAAAAGAAATAAAAGATAGTGGACCACAGCCATATACACCCACCACAGCATGCCAATGGTAAATATTCAAGATTTTGGGGCAAGGGCAATAACTCTGCTTCATACAGTCGAAAATAGCTCAAATTCGAACTTGATCTTCGTTTCATGAATATGTATACACATACCAAAAATCTAGTTTTTAGAGCATTTACAAGCAACCGACCGACAGGGGTGTCGACAATAAACGTCCACATAGAGAGATGTGGGCATATAGAAATGGAATTTAACATCCAAATTCATAACTTTCTAGAAAAATTGAGAATTACATACAGAAATATATTATAAAAATTTTAATGGTTTGGCAAACTTTCCCCTCAATGTAAAAAACCATAAACAGAATAGAATATATTTCATTTTCTAATTCTCAATTCCATAAATTAACCTGTTTTGTTTTCCATTTTTCCATAAATGTCGCTAGCTTGTTGTATAAGTAAACTCAGGTTATTGTCCAATCTAAACCACTAGAAGCTTCCATGTTTTGATAACTATTTAACTGTATGTTACATGTAAAATCATGCCTTATCTCAGTTCCCAACCTTTTTCAGCGTTCACACACTATAGGCGTTTTTGTGGGCCGATTCGATTAGGTAGATTAGCTATTATGTGCGTTTGTAAGCCAGGACGATTAGGCTAATCGGTACATTTGTGAGCCAGTTTACCTAAACTGATTTGGCTAATCGTCCTAGGAGGTGGTTAGGCGATTCGATTAGGCTTTTCCAAGATAGCGGCATGTGGAAGTTGCTAATGTAATCAAAATGGCGGTCTTCCATCGGTTGTCAGCAAAGGCAGCCATATTGCCAATTTGAATTTCGCATTTGTGGACCACTGCTAATCTAAACCAAATTGCACCAAATCGTACTACCTAATCGAATCGGCCCACAAAAACGCCTCTGGAGTAACCATTTGAACCCCTGACAGCCCCAAAACAATGGACATTCAGTAAATTTTATAATTTTTATTCAAGCTAATCCAATAATGGATATATAATCATGCGGCTGCAATAAAATGCTCAGTGGGAAGGTCGTTGCTGTTTTGTTTGGAACCATATAATGTCCCCCAAAAAAAACCTCTCCTACAATAGTTGTCCACACCCCAGACACCCCAGTCCCACACCTCCAGGGGGTGAAAACACCTTAGGTTGGGAACCAGGCCACGTATTCTCGTAATGATATTAGCGCTAGGATGTCCTAGGTTCTTATCTTCTAACATTGATTCTAGGACATCTTAGCACTAAGATCGTTTCGAGAATACATGGCCTTAGCTCATTAAAAGGAACTTACTATCTGTAATGAGAGATTCTGGCAGTTTACGAAAAAAAGCCTTCAATAAACTGGCTATAACATTGACATCTAGCCATTTCTCATTATCTATACTTATATTCTCTATACCCTGTAATATATATATAAACCTGATTAATAACACTGTGTGGTAAATATTGTTATTATAACATATTATATAGCACTTGACCTTCAACTTCAATAACATCAAAAAATTAGAGATAGAATTTGGGGTAAAATGGATTTTTAAAAGGTTTTCTAAATTTTAGATGTGTATCAGGGACACTGATAAGATCAACTTGCTTCATTCTAATTTTCAATCAGACGTCCTGCAATCAACTAAAACTAAGTGTTTTATAAAAATGAAATGAATGGAGTTTTGCGTCCTACTTTTCTGCAACTTGTTGTCTAATGAAGACGGGCAACGTCATTCAGGGTGCCATGAGGGAAATTATGCCAGGACAGCGGCATTAGCCTGCTCTTTTTCGATTTCCAACTGTCGAAGGTATTATCTGGACCTATGCCGGGATTGAACCCTGGACCTTCAGGTTAGCAAGCAAGGGTCTAACTCACTGAGCCACCGCAGCTCCCTAAGTCTTTTATGATGTCATCGTGAAGGGCCTGATGTGTTACAACATATTTTGCAATAGGTGATGTCAAATTGATGCTATCAGTGTCCCCCATACACAGAACAAATTTAGAAAATCTCAACCGAAGCCAACAATTTTTGTTACAAGGAAAAGAATATGTAAAAGTGAAATTGGTCATAACTGACGGTCAAAACGTCACAACAGACTTACATACCTTATTTAAATCATCCTGCATGGCGTTGACTGATACAGAATTGCCTGGAACTCTGTAGACTCCTACCACCTCTAAGCCTCTTGCTTCCACGATTCTAGCACATAGTTCTACTATTAGTGGCACAAACTGGAACATAAGAAAGAAACATTAATCTGAAGGATTCCATGTTCTTGTCTACTTTCTAGTCCCTGATCAAATCTCTTGATATTGGCATTTAAAGGCGGTTTTCCACGGGAAGATTTTTCGTCGCAAAATAAAAGCACTCGATCAATTCTGATTTCCACTGTCATCGTCCTTGCCCATCAGCGAAAAAATGGCGGCATTCAACAAAGCCCTGCTATTAAACTAGCGTTTATATTAACTAGTTCTAATTATTTTCCAGATTTTGTTTATTTCCTCTGGATCCAAAGAAATTTGTGTGCCTCGAGTTTGTTTGGACTCATAAGACGGCCATGCCGTTTTCTGCCATCTTTGACGTCATGACGATATGACGTTTACGCTGTTAGCCAAAATTCTCGCATCTGATTGGATAAGCTAATTGTGCGAAAAATTAGTAGAACCTTTTCCTACTTCTTTTGCGATCATCGTGACCATTTTTTTCGCTGCAAATTCTAGTACTTCTTATCAAAACGCATGTGTGGGGGAAAAAATCGCTTCGTACAAAAAAAATTGTCCCGTGTAAAACAGCCTTAAGAGAGAGACAGTCATATTTAACCAGGAGAGCAACCTTAGTTTTTAGTTCCTTCCACAATCTGATCATTGGCCAGAGCTCTTCTTGGCATTGATCTTTCCAAGATTTGAAATAAAAATCTGTAGAAGCAAGACAATCAAAATATCGTCCAAAGTTGCCTATTAGGGCAAAATCTATAATAAATGTTGTATAGTAGTGGACTTCTCCAAAGAGAAGCTCCATCAGGTGTTTCGAAAAGAGAAAGCATGGTCTGCTTAGAGCATGACACCCACCACTACTATATAGGGTAGTGAAGGTCAGGATTTTACAGCTAGGAAGACTGGAACAATGAGGAAATGAGTTTTAGGTCCTAGGCACCTAATTAAGCTTATGAAGATAATCAATGCCCTATAATATGCAATGAGGGAAATTTTGTCAGGACAGCTGTATTAGCCAATTCTTTTTGTTTCCAACTGTCCAAAAATCTTTATCATGTATTCAGACAAACCTCATTATTAGGTGATGGAATACAATCCTTCAATTCCACACCAAATGTTCGGTTGGAATCGTCTTCCACTTCTACTGGTGCTGCCTGGCTTCCACTTTCAGGCGTCTTCTTGAATCCTTTGGGCATCATTTTCTTCCATGTTTTCGTCTTAGTCTCATCTTGAAATGAAATAATGTTAATGTCTTACTATTCTGCAGAGGGGTCATAATCTCGTAACTAGGTTAGAAATTTGGGCAATCTCAGATATTTCACCCCCCTCCAAACCTAAACCTGGTTTGCCTCTGTAGTTGGTTTATCTATTAGTTAATTTCAGAAAATAAACTAAAATGAGCAAATCTGTCCAACCAAAAATTTATCAAAACTTACCTTTTTCCTTTTCTTTTTCTGTTTTCTTGCGCCTGACGCTAGGTGATCCTGTCAATTTTTTCAAACCAGACAATTTCTTGCCTTTAGGAGGAACAGTTGGTGAGTTTTTAGTAAGTGGTTGAGACAGTTCATGAGATGCTATTTTCCGAGATATCAAATCTGAACTAGTGACAGATAACTTCTGTAAAAAATCAAAACTAAATTAGCTACTTTTAATGAAATGACCTCTGACCTCTGACCTATTGGGTTTGACGAGGACCAGTTAATAGAAAGGATCTATGAGAGCTTTTTTATTTTGTAAAGAAGTTTTCTAGTTGTGTATTGGGGAAACTGTTAAGGTAATTTTGATTTGCACCATTTGCATTTTCAGTCAGACCCTTAGTGACATTACTTTTGCAAACGTTGCTAATAATATATAGGATCTTTGCTATAGTGATGTCATAAAAAGGTAATTTTGATGGCAAGACATCAATTGGAATGGTGCAAATCTTTGTTATCAATATCCACAATACACGAAGGAAGTTTAGAATATCTCTTTACAATCCCTTTAAAGATGGGTTTCCTTATTTTTTTAATGTTAATTTAAGCAAACAATTTGACTAATTGGTGTTTCTAATGAATTATCATGTAATCATATCATTATGTTCTTATTGCATATAATTAAGAGTTTTAACCAATCATAAATGTGCATGTATGTACAGTCTGGATAAACAAAAAATACTTTTTGACCTTTCTTGTCACTCATTGGAATTCTGCTGGTAATTCACATCTAATTTAGTTAATTATGAATTAATTATGGACATGTGAGACAAACTGGTATTTTTCCAAGTCATTAGAACACCTATACCTTGTATTCATATAAGCATTTTCATTTTCAAATAAGGAAACCCATCTTTAAGCTGTTGACATGAATAATTTTCATGAGAGGTTCAATCCATTTTTCTTCTTAAATCCTTATTTAAGTAAAGCAAACTATAAATGGATACTAATAATTACAGACAGATCAAATAAACAACCCCAAAAATGAACTAAGTTAAAACTTACATCACAATCCGGATCATTATTTGTTTTAATAGCTTGTATCCATGACATCATAGTTCCACGATCTTCTGTTTGAAATAAATACTCAGAACCATTGAAGGTAGACAATCGGAATACATTACGTTTCTTTTTAGCGTAATCATGAGCGATATCTATCAAACATGATTTAATACTGATCAGCTGATCTTCAAAACTTGGCAGAGACTGAAAATATATCAAACTTAC